CCCCCCCGAGGGAGATATCTGTTCCTCTTTGTGCTTCTATTAAAACCTTTCCTGGGTAAAGGGGATCAACATCAGCTCAAAAACTGCCTTCTCCTGCAGAAGGCAAAAGCAGCCACCCATACACCCAAACCACCGACCTGCAGAGACCAGCCGAGCACAGAGGAGGAGTCTTGCCGGGCTCCTACTTAGTGCAGGAAGGAAGGGTTTTATTTGGGGTGTTTCCAGCTATTTAGGTAAGTTGGCCTCAGCTGCATTCAAAAAAAATACTAATACAGAGCTGAGTGGGTTGCTTGACAAGGAGCAGGCATTTTTCTCAGCTGCTGGGGCCTTTGCCAGGGGGATTGCAAACACCAGCCTGTCTCAGAACTTAAATAACTCACTTAGTGTGTTCCTCAACAGTTCGGCAGGGCTGTGTTTTCCAGGTCCCCAAAGTGCCTGGAAATCCAGCAAGGGCAGAGGACCCCAGCAGAGCCCCTGTATCCGCCGTGGAGCTCCAGGCAGCCGGGGCAGAGCTGTGAGAGCTCTGGCCTAGCCCTGGTTGGAGGATGCGAACACAGAACCTGAAGCACAGCAGGCTGCCCCAGCACCGGCCTGGCCTCGAGCCTCCTCTCACACGGCTTCCTGCCGGCCTCGCTGCCCGTGGTTCAACTCTGAGTAAATGAAATGTCCAGCGCTCCAGGGAATCGCCCGCCCAGTGCTTGCTCTCCAGATCCATCAGCTGCGCAGGATCTGCTTGGAGCAGACTCTGACAACGCTGCTCTCAAACTCCTCGGCTGGTGGAGTAGCACTTTCCTGGCCAAAGGAATACAAAACAGCACTTTTCCAGGATTTACTATGGCTCTTGCTATGCATCATCATTGCAAGGACAACCTGCACTGTGTAACTGGTTGTTTTCTCAATCGGCTTCCTGCAGGCAGTCACTCGAGTACGTGCTGTGAACACACGTACTATTTTCTGAGCTTCTATTTTTGCAGAACACTTTTTCACAAAACAAATCTGTTAACCTTGGGGCAATCCACTCTGCAGCAGAATGACGGCAGCACACGGCTACGTGCCCAAGACGCGGACAGCAACATCCACATGTGGGGTAACACGGCCAGGAGCATGGGTCCACCCTGGGCACTGCACCCGCTTTGGGAAGCAGCTGCTGTGCCCCAGGGCTGGGCTCAGGTATTGGTCTTCCCACTCCATGAGGGTTGTGCTGGCCCCAGCAGTTACTGACTGGATGGTGTAAGGGCAGCTACCAGTCATGTTCGTGGTGGGCACCTGTGTTCAGAGCTGAACAAGGATGGAGATCAGCCAGTGGAAGGAAGAGATCAGACCGCATCATACAAGAGACGAGGAAAAAGTTTTCTAACACTGAGGCTCAAACCTCTCGATGGAGATCAGCCAGTGGAAGGAAGAGGAGATCAGACCGCATCGTACAAGAGAGGAGGAAGAAGTTATTCTAACACTGAGGCTCAAACCTCTCTTTCAGTAGAAGCAAGCAGGGTAGAAGCCCAACTGCTTTGAAAGAGCAGTGAGGCCTGACTACGATGACAAAGTGGACGAGATGCTCCTGGAGGAAACCAAGCCTTGCCCTCACGAGCTGCAGGCAGCTCAGCTCTCACCTCCGTGCGGCAGCGTGGCTGAGGTGCTCCAAGGTTGAGCAGTGGTGCAGCACCTCCCACGCGCTCTTTTCTTGATTCAGATCTAACTCTGCAGCAAACATTGTTCAAGGTCAGGCCTAAAGTGTGTAATATATGTGTATATGCATTAAAGGACTTACGTCCCCACACCCATCTTCCTCTAGAGGCTGCCTAGGCACTGTTGCAGATTTGGTCCAGTTTACCCTGCAATTAAGGTTTTGTTCTTGGTTTTGAAGTCCTCAGCTTCACTCAACAGCACAGCAGTGCTGACCAATTTTAAAGAGAAGGGAAACAAATGAAGGTGTCATGTAATGAGGAACAGTAGAGCTGAAGGGTGAACAGCAATAGAAACACCCCATTATCTAGAATATCCAAATCAATAGCATTACTAGTTAGTGCTCTGATGGGATATGATGCTTGGGGATGACTGTGGCATCCTGCAAAATTTACAGGAAAACCTGCAGTTATTACAACTTTCCCGCTGTTTTTGGTGACCTTCAAAAACTCAGTGTCCCTCCCTGCTAGCTTGCAAAGCAGACGGATGCTCACAGTATAGCCCACGTCTGCTGCCAGATACTGCTTGGAGAAGTGTCCTATAGCAGCACACATCAGCGCCAGGAACGGCGCTCGTAGAGCTGACTGCTTTACTCCCTGCCGAAATCCTGATAGGCAACTGCTCACAAAGATAAAGCAGGAACAGGTCACAAGGAGCAGGGCCTCAGTAAATATTTACATGCTATTAATTTGTTGGGTAAACTAGGGCTCCATACAAGCCTCATTATTAAAACAATAGGAAAAGGCTGCAGCTGCTCTCCCTCCACTGATCAAAAACCGACCTAATTGCTGTTCCCAGCAACGAGCATAAAACATCTTCTACCTGTGAACATCTGACCATAACCTGCAAGAAGCTCAGCTGTCGTGCCTGCCTTTTGCATCTCCACTCTCGTGCTGTGACTTTCCTGCTGCACCAGTCATCTGAATTGTCACACTGGAGCACTGGACACAGCCCTTCCAGAGTGCACGGCCCTGAAACAGTCACAGGAGGAGAACAAGGCTGAAGGAAAAGGTGTGACAAGGTGACACATAAAAGGGTTGCAGAGCTACTGCATGCTCTCCCAGGGAAGGCTGAACACATTCCTCCAGCTACAGCTAGATCAATAAGGGATGCAGGTGACCACATTATAGGAAGTAAGGCTATAAACCTCCCTCTGCCCCCAACAGCAATGCAGCCTCCTCATCAAACGTTACCAAGTAGTGTGATTAATTATCTTTATAATGAAGAATGTATTTTTAAAAAAAGATTCAGTGACTAATAATTGCCCAAAAATGCATCTCAGTCAAAAAGACTCAACTTAGTACATAAGAAATATTCATCTGGTAAACAGGAGGCCAGAAGAGAACGAGTGGTTTGAGTCAAATACACTTCAGCGACAGAAACGTCTTCACCCAGACTCCCTTACCCCCACAAGTTCATTAGTGCAGCATTTTTAAAACAGGGTGGCAGTACTGAACAAGCAACTTCATTCAACTTGTAAAATCCTTGTCATATTTTCCAAGACACATTAAGAGACCAACAGGTGAAAGATGCACCAAACCAGCATTCCTGTCACCAAACTGGCATCCCTGCCTAGGGCAAGACAGCCAGCATTTCCACAGTCCATATTCTACCCTTTGCCTTTCTTTGTGCTCTAACCTATTTTAGGCAGAAGTTTTGCTGAAGTGATGGACAACAGCTGTAAAGTCTGGGCAATTTAAAAGCATATATCCAGTGCTCCTAAGAATAGACCAAATCAAATATCTGTGGGTTTCTAGAACAATTTATTTATCTAAGTTGCATGTTCTGAGGGCAGTAGTGTATGTGTTGCGATAAAGTGACACTGAGAAGATTTAACAATTTCTTAATTTAATAAGTGATTTTCACTACATGGTATTGTACACTGTTATCTGTTCAAAAAAGATTAACAGTTTTTAAAAAAACAAGATACTGTGAGAGATTTGCATAAGCTGGTGATCAAGATCAACTCCTCTGGTTGGCTTATCACACCGGTTCCTATGCTTCTTTGTAAAACAAAGTCTTTAGGCCAAAATGCACATAGAGTCACTCAGGCAGATCTAGAACCCTTTCCATAACTTCCAGCTTTCTGAAACTGGCTGTCACAGGACTGATGCAATTGTAGAAAGGTCTGCTCAACATGGAAATTGTACAAAAAAGTATTTACTTTTACCATTAACAGAACAAACAGCACAGCATTTCTACTTGCTATTTCAAGCAAAGACTTCCTGATATGGCCAAGAGGAAGGCATAAACAAAAAGCCCTGCCAACATATCGTGATGGGTCATGTATATAAGAGTTTTCTAAGCAAACTTTGGCTTCAGGAAAGAGACACAAACACTTAAAATAATGGCTTTAATTGTCATTCAAAGTATACGGAGGGATGTGTATTTTAATTAAATATACATCATACCAGTGATGCTGGCAAGGTTGTTATTCCTAATGTTGACAGCAATAAAACTAACGTGTACATGACAAGACATTAAAAGAAAAGCAATCCCTTTAAAACAAGTTTTAACGTAAAAAAAGTTCACAGTGGTTTGTATAAACAGTATGCAATTTCTGACAGTAACAAATTTCTACTCTCACAGCACACTAGTGCCCTCTTTAGATCCTAAAGAAGAAAACAAGCATTTACACTACTCATTGTACAGATTCAAAAAGTCAGTTGTACAATTACCCACAATGGCAGAATAAGATGCTGTGGAGTGTACAGCTGTAACACCAACGAAAGGAAAGCTTTTAAAATTCTTTTCCTGGGAGGGAGAAGTCTTTCATTTGCTGCTACAACCAGCAAATGCCATTCACCAAATCGAAAGGAAAACCACAAACACGTTATCTAGTTTGAGCAAGCCGAACAGTACACATTACAGTTTTAAAAATGGAGGTTATATACTATATTACAAGTCCCAACAAGGCAGTGCCAAATTCACTATTTCTTTGCTTGTTTTGTGATCATACCCCTGGGAGGCGTTACCGGTCTGCTAGCGTTGGGCTTCTTTTTCTCTGCAGGTTTCAAAATCTGAAAAGAAAGTTCAGTCATTCAGAAAAAGCTCTTACACCAAAGTCATACAATTCATTTTCCAGTAAAAGCCAAGGTACAGGACAAGTCAAACTGGCCAAGAAATAAACACCTTTCTTACTCACTGAGCTCTGACAGGGTTCAGAGCAGCTCATCTGAGAGCTTGTGCCAATGGAAGCAGGAGAACATCAAGTGCTTTACTTGCATGACTTAATTCCAGGTAAAACAGTTCATCTACTCACATCAGCTGAGACTAACTACATATTTAAATATACCTGGAGAGAAATCTTAGCATTATCCACAATCTTGCTTTTGTGAGGATAGTCAGTCTTTATATCTGCTGTTTTAAACTTATACTTGTTTCAAACAGATCTTACAGATATAAAATGTTACTGTGACTACAACAACTAGAATGTAAAAATCTTAAGCAATTAGTACCTGAAAGGAGCACATTAGAGTTTCATCCACACTCATCATAGCACCTGCATTATCAAATTCTCCGCAGTAATTTGGGGCAGAAAATAGAGTTACCAATTGCCTTTTTGCAAAAAACTCATATCCATCTTCAACAACCTTTAAAGAGAAGAAGCAAAGTATTAGACTGAACAACTCCTTGCCACAATGTGGAAAGCAAGAAGTGATACATACACACCCAAGTCGGAACATACAGCTCAAGAAAGATTAGTTACAGCATTACCAGCAGCTAAGGGGCTGTCTAGGCCTAAGAAGAGTTTCCAAATTTTTCAGGAAGAAAAACCACAGGTTAGCACACAGTCCATTAGCAGGGAGAACAAAAGGATTCTGCTAGTTCAAGATAAGCTCTTTCAAGAGCTGCAACCACAGCTCTTATATATTAGAATAAAATCATAACCAGGATTACTAAACACTGCAATGAGTTGCCCAGAAAGGTTGCAGAATATGAATCCTTGCAGATCCTTGACTGGTCAAGGTCTTGAGCAACTTGGTGTTATGCTTAACTTTACCCCACATGGAGTATATGGGTAGGGGGAAACCAGATAATCATCTCCGGTCCCTTCCAACCTGTTGTCTGGTTAACACACAAAATTTAAATACCTGATGAGCTCTACATATGAGATCCAAATCATGTTTATGGAGAAATTTTGCAACCACTTCTGCACCAAACGTGAAGGACACTCCTCTGTCATTTTCACCCCATCCCAAGACATCTTTGTCAGGATCAGACCATAAGAGATCACAGAGAAGACCTTGGTCTGGTACATCTGTAGGCCGCATAATTCGTCTGATCTGTTCCATTGACTGAAGGTCTGGTGACAAGCCTGTTTCAAGTCAAGACATTCACATTTTATTCCAACTATGTTCTGAAACATTGACACACTGAGACAAAAATAACTTAATAGCCAAAGTGATTCATTATTGCAATTTTATATAGTTCAAGAGCAATGTTAACTGACTTTTTTAATCAAGCATTTGGTTTAAAGCTTTTATAACCAAAGATGAGTCACTTTTTAGAAGACTTACTGCGAGCAAGATAAGCAAAGCCGTTTTCACATTTTACAGGATTACAATAATTTTACTGTAATAATTTGAAACATCTGTTAAAAGTGCTGTTAAGTAATAGAGGCATTAATAGTAGAAATCAAAGTGTATGTCTACTTTCTAATCAGGCCTAGGAAGATGAAATACAGTATCAAATAGACCAATGTTTTTCACTGATCTCCCTGGGCATCTGTAATTACTTGCAAGTGATAAGCATTTCAACAGCAATACGTATTTGGCTACTTTCAAAGCTGTATAAAGCAATTAAGACATGGCACAGCAGAGCCAGTTTCTACAAGCTAGGTCCAAAATACATCATGTTTTCAGAATTTACATAATCTAAAGAGATTCAAAACTATGAAGATTCTGTTCTTGAAAGGAGACTTCAAAAAAGTTACAAAACTACCAGCTCAATTAATGATTTGCAAAACTTTGTAATCTAGCTCAACCCTACCTCATAAATGAGCCAAGGCAGAGGAAAACAACATTTCAGAGTTTCAAAAAATGAAGAATAAATCAAAAATCAACGCTTTCCAACAGTGAAAGCGCCCACAATGCAAACACGAATTAGCCAAGATTTATATCACAGCGCTGCAGTCTCTCAAGCGTCAACTAGGGAAGCATTACCCACCTCCATGACAGCAAAATATTTTCTCATCCACAATAGCTGCAATTGGTAAACAATTAAAACAGTCTGTGAAGGTCTTCCATAGCTTAATATTGTATCTTCTCTTACCTAGAAAATCATTTGGGGAAAAAGTCAATAAATATTTCCAATCCTATTACAAGCAACCTAATATGGCCATCTTAATTTTACCAATATTTGCAAAAGCCTATGAAGCCTAAATATAAAGCCTATGTATCATTTACCTTATTTATCTGCATTACTTGTAAGAACATTGAGGTTCTCGCAGCTCTAATTTGGTTCTCAGGGGTACAAAACTAAAACTTGCATTCCACTTTCAGAGGACAGACTCTCCAGCCCCAACCTTGCTTTGGAAGATTATCCCTTAAAAAAAAAATCTAATCAATTAAAAAAAATCCTATTTGCTGTTATCTGTTTTCTTCAGTAGAAAATAGCATCTCTTTGAATCTTTTTTCTCCTTTAAAATTCTGCTAGTATTTAACCACATAAAGTCTCTCTAGGGCTAAGAAATAGACTGAACAATGAAATTGCTACAGCCCTACTTTCCAAGGGACTCTCCCAACAGATACGAACACTGAACATATTTGAGAAGTGCCTGAGTCTGATTAATCTCCAAGGAGTCAGTGCTGAAATGCCACATATCTTTGTTTTGCTGTTCAACAAGGACAGCCAGACACAGAGAGTACATCTTGTGAGCTACAAGCTATGTAGGTCCCACAACAGAAGTGCCAGGAATGCTCTGTGCACAATTAACCTAACAGTTTAATCTCCTCCACAGGATCTGGACTTAAGCCACATCCTTTGAAACATATGAACATAAACTTCTACTTTACAATGCACAGATTAAGGTATGAGAATAAAGACTTGCTGCATCAAATTGAATGGATAACATAAACCAAAAAGTTGTCAGAAAACAGCCCACAGTTCTCAGTGGAAGAACAGTGGAAGTCATTTTATCAACTGTCCTCTGCAAAAGCATGTATAATAACCAAACCCTTATAGCATTCTATACAGTTGCTTGACCCTCACGAGACAGAGAGCTACCAGCAATAACAAACAGGGAGTCATCATGCTGAACTAAGTTAATACAACTTAGTCTACTTTCCCTTTGGCCTGAAGTGTGTTTCCTTGCAGAATATTGCTGATGCTGAAAAGTGACAAACTAATTTGGAGACTGAGACTCATTAACAAAGGATGATATTCACTCATCTCCAGGAGATGGTAAAAAGCCTATGTACCCTCTACGCTGAATTCTGAAGAGCTCAAAGGGGAGCTCATGGTACAGTCAGAGCATTCATTTGAGGAACATGAAACTCTCCAAACTGTCTCTGAAAGAATATAAAAGGGCGTCACTGAAGTTAAATCAGTTTAAGCCTGGAGTAAAACTTCATAACCTGAAATCTTAACCTTTAGTGTTTCTTGAAGAAAAAAAAAAGGTCGTTTTGCAATCTCTAAAAACCTAACTTCTAAAACAAGCATCCACAATCTCTCAAACATGGAGGCAGTGGAAAGATCTGGAAAATTATGAAATATATCAGTACTGAAGGTTCATATACACTTTGCCCAGCTTATAAAAGAGGGAGTTTTTTTTGGCCTATACCAAAAGGCATGATAAAGCAGGACTGCATTCAGTTTCAGATCCTCCACAGAAGAGCAGTTTTTATATTTTTACACTACAAAATTACAGTTAATTAGACTGCACTGTTTGTAAGATAACCATGATAGAGTAGTCTATTATCTTCATTAAGTCATAATGCAAGTATACATAATCATCATTTCTGCTCATCGGTGAAAAACAATGAACTGCAAAGTAGTAGAAGTAGTAAAACTGTCTCTCATCTAATTAGATTATCTAACCATAAGAACTTTAACAATATGCAGCAGTAAAAATGGTTAATTAACATAGTGTCTAAATAAAATCACCCATTTGCACACTGCTTAGTATGGTAAGTATCAGAATACAACAGGATCACTCAAAGGACAGATTTCCCTTGCTAAAATAAGCCCAGGCATCACCTGAACAGTCAAAGGTAACTAAGTTAAGATAAAGTGATCTAATACCGGAAGGCTTGGGAACAAACAGCTGCTACCCTACTTTCTGAAGTCATAAAGATACATATTACATACATATTACTTACATTCATCATAAAATCCATAAATTCTATTGATGCTGGCACATTCATGGTTCCCTCTAAGGAGGAAAAAATTCTCTGGATATTTGATTTTGTAGGCCAATAAGAGACAAATTGTTTCTAAAGACTGTTTTCCTCTGTCAACATAATCACCAAGAAATAGGTAGTTGCTTTCTGGTGGAAAACCTCCATACTCAAAGAGTCGAAGCAAGTCATAGTATTGTCCATGGATATCACCTATAAAGAATATTCATAAACGGCATGTAAGTGACACTTTGCTACATTCTTTCATTATTCTAGAGAAAACACTAACAAATGAAACTTCAGAAACAAGAAAAGCATTCAGTCAGATATTGCTTATAATTAAAAATTATGGAATTTATCTTAATGCATGGAAAATTATCACATGCAGACCTTTATCACACCTATGTAAGGCAACAATTAACTGTAGTAAGAGCAAGCATGCAGCTTTTGTTTGCTGGAAGCTATTAAACACACATTTGTTAGGTGTTTTATTTTGATATTCCTCATTCTTTTAGCATAACTAACATGTTCATTTTGCAAACATATACATGTTATGCTAAAAGATATATACATCACTGTGCATAAGCTTAGTGAAATCAAACCAGAAGGGAAGTCCTAGAAAAGTGTAGAATCTGAAATTTTCAGCACTTGTAAATTTAAAATTGTTAAACCACTGTTCAACTAGCTCTTTGAATGGCACCTACAGTAAACTATTTTGCTTCTCCTTTGCTTCTCTTTGTTCAGTCATGACTTGGCTGAAAGTTCAGTCATGACTTGGCTGAAAGTTATTTCATCCGTATAAAAATTACTTTCCAAAACTCTGCCTGAATCCCTTCTCCAACCAACCCAGCAGAACTGGACCAGCTACCTTTTGGGTTTTTTTTTTTTTTTATTCCCACTCAAATTCCTATATTGGTTATTGCCTCCCTTTCCCCCCTAAAGGATCCAGCATGGGTTTATTTTCTCTTTGCTACAATCATTTATTAGTTCACCTGTCAAAAGGTAGCATCCTGCATTTGTTTTCCTCCTAGTATGTCTACCTCAACAAAAAAACCCCAAAGCCAAGCATCAAATTAAAATCACATATACTCACCACATATTTTAAGTGGAGCTTCAAGTTCTAGTAGAATAGGCTGACTGAGAAAGATTTCTCTGGATTTCAAGCACAGTCCTCTAATTTCATTCTCTTGAAGTTGGACATTTTTACCTGGCTTTGATCCTCTCACTGTCAGAAAAATGCAGTAGTCAGTTATCCAAATCAGTATCCCTAGTGTTATTTTAAGAACCTGACTAAATGTCATTTAATATAGAATGAGAAGATAGCAGGATAACATCAGTTTGTCACCCTGAAACTGAACAGGCATATTAACGGGAAAAGGGTATCATGTTCCATTTCAGTCGTATGTTAAGGTTCATCTAAAGAACTCTTGACTTAGCATTTCCCCCATTAAATTTCACAAGTTAAATGGAAACACTTTAGTTCTAGCTTGGTTTAGTTGTAAAACACATCTTAGATAGTACAACTACACTCTTCAAAACAGTTATGCGCTTCTCAGTAAAGCTTTCTGAGCCTGTGAAAATGAAGCACCCTGTTAATTTGCATGGTTTTCACATAACCCTGCCCACCAAGGCTGTTTCTAAATAAAAGATCATTATACCAATAAATGCTGTACTGCCTCATTCTACACAGCAGCTATCAAGCATGGAAGAAAAGCCTATAATCAAAAATCCAGAATGATGCACAAGGAAACATATCTTCTGATCAGAAGATCACAAAGCTCCGCAAAATAAGCAGCCTACAGACAAAAATTAAAGAGCAGAAGACCTTTGTCTTTCTACCTCTTTCTAGAGAATCTTACAGCGCACTGCTATGTTTTAAAAATCTTTTTTTTAAGCTTTTTATTATAATGGAGTCAGCAACTGCAAAAGTCTCCTACAAACTGTGAATACTTAAAGTAAGTCCAAAGTGGCATAAACATACTATCTAGTTCTCCCTCCCTTTATCACCTCGCCCCCATTTCCTCTTGCAAGGACAAGGACATTCGTATGGCAGTCATTCCCTAACTAAGGCTAAATAGCATGCAGCAATAGGAGACAGATGACTATATTGTTCATCAGGGTTAGAAAAATGCTGATGAACAAACAGCTAACCAAAAAAAGTGACTTTACTGGCAAAACTTACAAAATATTATCTGGTGTCAAAACCTGTGATGAGATGGAGTACTGGTACAGTTGAAGCAAAAAACTTGTAGAAAGTTTGAGTAATATTGTAAAGTGACAGGGGTAATTTCTACGCTATAACACATTGGTTCAGACATAAAGGCCGAATGATCCAAGAACCTCAGCCTCAAATGCCAGGAAACACTGATAATGCTTTTTCAAACAAAATTATTACACTAGCAGTACCATCTCACTTGGCTACTTACAGTGTATGAAATACATGGCATTGATACTAAAGAATCTCAAGTCTTATCCCCCAAACCTAATCTTTAGTTGAAAAAAGGCAGCCATAAACCCAAACCCCTTTCAAGTAAGGGAACTGATACGTTATTTCCTGTATCCATAAACATTTATACTGTTTCAGGCTAATCACCTTGCTACTGCTTATTTCACAGCAAGAAATCTGGAAGCTACAGATGACTCAGTAGTCTCAGCAGTGCCCCTGTGGATCTCACAACATAGAAATCACTAACAATACCCTAAAATCACATCACTTTTCTCCAAGTAAGTTTCAAAACTGACCTCCAAATTACAATGTGTATTTACAGTGACATTAAGAAAGCTGTGGGCCAAGAGTCCCAGCATTAACAGTGCTATCATTCAAGCACTACATGCTCCCATATTACTCACTCCCTATCTATTATCACCCAGCACTGACATTATATTGGCCCACTGGAATTACCACTAAACTTCAAGTCTTCCACTAAAATATTTGAAGCAATGAAGCATATAAATGAAAGCTAGATCTTTGTCACAGTTGTTTATCATGCATGAAATTTTTCAGCCATACAGTAATTTTCCAAACACTTCCTGAGCAATCAGCAATTTGTTCAAAATGCCAAATATCCAGAAGCAATAAAGAAAAAAATATAGCAAAAGCAGTGATGAGCCAACTGAAACTGGAAGAGTCAAAAACTAACATAAGTTCTCAAAAAAATACAAAATACATGCTATGTACCGAGTCATTAACACTTATGAATAAAGAAAAGGCATTCATTTTTGCAAAAGATTAAATGGAAATCTGAAAACTGACTGCTTCAGATAAATGTTTTGCAGGTTTCTGATGCATTTTCATTGAAACAGTAAAAATCTTCTGCAGCTCTAGTAATTTTTTTGTAGAAAACCTTGCTAGAAGTTGCCAGAAGTTTATATAAACTTACTGGCACAGATGCCAGAAGGATAGAAAAATAGGAAAGTTTGATTCATCTCTGTAACATACTGTCTGCCAATGACATTTTGAACACTACTGCCCAATACAGAATCAGCACAGAAAAAAAGCGTTTGATTTCTTCTAACATTGACCTACATCCTGAGAAACTGGAAATATTATTTTTGGCTTCAGAAATATCAAATTTGCAGAACAGCATGTTGGCTTGAGATATCTGTATTTTTAGTGCAAGGATTCTCTCATCCATAATGAAAGAGCTGGCAAGAAAATGCAGGATATTCAGTCTCAATGAATCCTTAAGAGATTTCTCTAATTCAGTCTTCAAGACTTAGCCCCACTACAAAAGGCAAAAATAATAGACTGTTGTTGTGTTTACAGCTTCTGTTCTCTCCTCTGGACCAAAACAAGGCAAAACTGACATTAGCCAATGCAATACTAATGGGTAGCTTGGTCAAAGTTCACAAGGCAGCTTGACAGTACCATACATACACATTTGTTCTTTCAACGCCTAAAAATAATCTGGGACAACTGAACAAGTTACAACTTCATCAGCTGAGAAAAGAGCCCATTTCAAACATTATTTTATTTACAACTTGCCTCAACATACAGTTGCACTATTTCCAGACAGTAACCCATTCCCTCCTCTAAGTAGAGATGCACTTTTAAAAAACATTTTCTCAGACTGGAATTATAATGTCCAGTCTGAGTGACCTTCTCCACTGTACAAGTGTGAAAAGTTTTGAAAAATAAGCTCTCCACTGGATGGAAAGACTAAAGAGACCACCACTCCCCGCGGCCTTCATGATCCCTGCACAGCCATTCTTTAAGCCACAGATAGAGCTAGGAAACCTTACAGCTTATACAGATGTAATTTGTGGAATAAGCCTAGGGCACTAAGGGAGAGCAATTCATCTGGTGTCCCACATAAACCTTCAGATTCACATTTTGGAGCTCTTAATTTTTCATACTTTACAACAGGTCCAAAGCCATAGCTTTCAGAACAGTAACACCTTCACAAACACTTCACCCTGCTACTCCAGACTTGATTTTTGAGAGTTATGAACTCAACAATTCCTTACAGTCTGTCCAAAAGGCAAACCAATAAACAAGCTCCAGCTATTAAAATTAATATTGCATGCTCCAAGACTGACAGAAAGCAACAACAAATGCCTACTCTAAAATGAATGCAGTACCAGAAGGGCACAGCAGAGGGGAGAAGGAAGTAAAAGCAAGAGAGAAAACAGCACCCCTGTGTTTTGGGTCAAGTAAACAGAATTACCACAAAGGGTAACTGCCAGGAAGAGTTCAACCCCATTAAGTCCAGGACAGTTTCTATACATATCTGTGAAGGGTATGTCAAGAATCGTGGGTTCTAGCACAAAAGATAGTGTGACACACCACTGCTGACATTTTCCAGCATTCATAGCTTGCTGCTATATAACCATTTAATAAAAGGAAATGTTTAAATAAAAATAAGAGTGCATTAACTAAGTCAAGGGTCATGCAAAAGGGAAAGATACTTAGTAAAGACTCATTCTTCCAGTGTTTATTCAAAAATATTACAATTTCACCAGTCCAAATATCTCATTTTCCTTTAATACTACATTAAAAGAAGTAATTACAATGCTGTCAGATAAAGTGCCAGACTCAAGTTGCTGCATAGAATAATGCTTCAAATAGTCTATCAGCAATTCAGTTCATTTTTAGCTCATTAAACAAGTCTTTCTCAGTTTACCATATATTTTATGTTAAGATGCCTGCAATTCTAAAGACATTTCCAAAAATATTGCAGGCTGTTATAGATCTTGTTTTTAGCAGTTCCTTGAGACAGGTTCACATTCAGTTTTGCACTGTCGACAGAGGGAATAAATAACTTGAACGTGATTGATTTAAATAAAGGTTTAGGTTTACTTCACGCACTGCCAACTTTGATCAGATCATTTCAAATTCAAAATCGAAGCTGGAAATAAACTCCTTAGCGCCCAAGCATCTGTATGAAGAAGTTTTAGCCTACTCTTTCCAGTGTGACAAAAGTTTAGAGAAGCTTTACCAAGCAGGAGATTCTGCATGACTGCAAATTTTCATCTTGTAAAATAATTCCACATTGGAGGAGACACTTATGTACTAAATTCAGTTCAGAACACAGACCCAGCTACTCCAGAGGTGACAAATGGCCACACTTCACCGATTAGGTAACTAAGACAGAACTTGACTGGCTTATCTGAATCCAAAGCAGTGACAGGAATCTAATCCTTGTCTTCCATTTGCAGAGTTCCCACTTCCATTATTAGAAACTGCTGCAACACCATAGGAAACAATGAACTTTAAGCTATAAGCTACTGAAAGCCAAATGATTCAAAGTTAGCAAGTGTTGCTTGCCTAGAAGAAACAGTATCCAACCACCAAGTGAAGTCTGACCAAGTTTCAGAGAATTGTCTCTAAAAATCAAAAAGTTTAATAACCATATTCTTTTGCTCAACTATTTTTAATAACAAAGATCCTCCTTCTCCATTTAAAGCAAATTAGGTAGAATATCTCCTTGACAGCCATACAACAGGCTTTACCAGGAATAGAAATCAGTGGGTGTACAAACAAGAAAGTTCAAGGATCTAAAGTCTTTCTACCAATTTTAGTGCACTAAGCCGTATTTCATTTTCAGAAAAGCTACCATTCTGGTCTTAACATGCCTTTAGCCACAGTAGCCTCCATTCATTACCTACCACTCTCCCTTAGAGAAAAGATTTTCAGAGACATACTTCAACTTGGCGCCCGCTTACCCTTCTTGGAATCGCATTATTTCACCTCGCTATGGGGTTAGGTTAGTACATTTCAGTCTTGCCTCTAGATAGGTTACTATGAGCTCCACTTTCAAACCAGGTCCTACTTACATCATCTGTGTGAACAGCTGCCAACACCTGGGGAAGGAAGCAGTTAAG